CAAGGTGAGTTTAGGCGGGTGTAGATGTCCACACTTATGAACGACATGCAAGCTTAGTTTTGACCTACATGCATATTGGTGACCCCATCTCTCGTTCGCTCTCTTTTGATTGGTCGCTTCATTTGAAACACGGAAGAAAAATCGCCGTCCTAAACCGCTTGAGAAAGGCAAGACTCAAATATGGAGCTGGCAAACAATTTCACTGCATTTCCTGTTTGTTGTTGTGGTCTTGTCTTCGACGAGGCCGCATGAACATGGCCGGTCGCCCTGTTCCAAGGGCAGTGCAGTCGCGTGACACACGTGGGCTACTATATTCGAGCTTGTCCTACACTCTAGTATGTAGCAATGCCGGGTTAAAAGGCCTGCCAAATCCCTCGCTACTCTATGCGGCCTTATACAGGGACCTGTATTAAACCGGGACCGCCATATACAGGGACCGGCCTTACACAGGGAACCGCCGTTTACAGGGATCGTCCTCGTACAGGGACCGTCCTACTACGGTGACAGGCCTTAAACAGGGACCATTGTACTGCTGCTTGCCTCCCAGGAAGAGAGCCGCACACCTGTTGCCCGGGTTGATGGCAGCATCCGTCTGGATGAAGTTCACCTTACGGTCCGGGAACCCCACCTCCTCGCTCGAGCGTTTCATGCTGTGCCGCCAGCGAGGAACGAACACACAAACGGGTCGGGTTGTTGACGTTAACACGCGGGGCGACACCGACGGAGCGAGAGAGCGGGGTGGTGGGGGGCGTTCGAGCAGTACCCAATACGATTTGCCCAAAAGGCGACCGTGGGTTGAGTTTTCGTACACGCCTGGCGGTTGGAGCACGTGAACGGGGCACATGCGTCGTGCACATGTTGGTTTTGATTGCTTGTCCCCAATCTGACGGCAGTAGTAAAGTCCTTATAAAAAAAAAGCTTTTTAAATATTTTTAAAATAAATAAGGGTGACCTATCTCAGACCGACGGAAGGGGTTGAACCTTCTCTCGACTGTGTGACCGGAGGAGACTTCCGGAGCGACGGTGGGGAGCCGCTAGTGCACAGACTTGCGGGACAGGAGTAGTTATCTAGGAAGAGCGAACGGTGCGGTCTCTGGGATGAGAGGGAAGGAAGAAGAGGAGTGACAGAGGAGGGGAGAAGAGGGGTGTGCACAGCACACCACTCCGCAGCCCTGATGACGCAGAACCGACCTGACTAGGCGGTGACACAGACACACAGTCTGTGCTGGCGTGCTGACGTGGTACAGCACTGACACGCTACCGGGGAATCTCCCCCGGGCGTGAGACGACAAACAACCATCTGGGCGGTTGCAGTAGATATATATGCAGCAGTGACATACGGGTGCGCGCGGACCGCACGGAAAGATCCGCAGAGCAAGCGGAGGAACAGTTGGACAGGTGACGTCGAGTAGGACGTACGTACAGCTACACCAGAGACTCTCATAAAGCTTTTAAACTATTCCAAAAACAAAAATCATCAAATACACCGTGCTCTCACGCCCAAGGCTCAGTCCCTCGCACTTGTCCGGCGCAACATAATGCAGGCGTTTCTATGCATATTCCAAAACTGTCTCTGTGTGATTTTCCAGAGGAATGAATCAAGAGCGGGTACCGTTGTTCAATGGCTTCCATGCATTGCTCACATGGGTGAAACCGTGCAGGTGGATGACAGGAACGGAACCCGGGAGCAACAATCCCAAAACTCGATACATTCTTGTGTGCGGAAAAGAGGGAACGAAAAAGTTGTACGAAAAAGAACTGACGGCCACCCGAAAACCATGACAAGTCGGACCTTCATAAGTAGGAAGGAGGCCAGGCCGTAGTTCGGGGGCGTACTCTCTTATGTTTTGCATGCCTTAGCGGTTAGACCATTGACCACGCGTCCTCGAGAGGACGGAGCATTGTTCCCACAGGACCGATCACCGATGGCCAATCGTTCCTTCCTACTTTGCCAAAGGTGGCTCAAAAATGTCTTCCCTAGTTTGTCTTATCCTACCGATGTCCCCTTCCCGCCTTTTCAAACCACTTTCTACTCCCCAGTACCGCTACCGTCCTCTCCTCTCTATTCCATGCCTCAAACATCTCCCTGTACGTCACTTGTATTCTTCCCAGCTCACTCATGTACACTTCCCTCTCCTTTTCGTACCACGGACATTCCGCGACTACATGAACACTGTCTTCGCATTCGAAGCCGCAATCGCATTTGAACTTATCGTCTTCGTCGTCTACCGTCCTATGTCTTCGTCGACGTTCGCGAAGGCCTATGTCTCCGGTCCTGAATTTGACCTTAAGCTTTGTCCCTGCATCCATTGGTCCATGTAGGTAATCCTTGAACCCTATTCCTTCTTTCAACATTCCGTACACTTCTAGACCCTCCTTATCCTTGGATTCTTTCCTTAGATTCTGTTCTTCTCTGTCGGCACAAGCAACAGATATCTTCTTCTTGAACCCCTGTAGACCCTCCGTTTCCAGCGTTTCATCTTCGTCGATGTCCAATCCCTTCCATACGTCCTCTACAACCTTGACCCATTCCGTGGGTTGTCTACCCCTCTTTTTGTTTGCCCACTTCGCCTCCCATACTATTCTCGGCAACCTCTCCTCTCTCATCCCGCACATGCGATACTGCCATGTCAGCTTCCTTACGTCTCTTCCCGACCGTAGGGATTGGATCCCCAATTCTGCCCTGACTGCTGCATTACTTGTGCACTTGGAGCATCCTAGGATGATTTTCGCTGCTTTCATCTGCGCCGCCTCGAGTTCTTTCACTACCTTCTTATTTCCTTCCCATACTTCTCCGGCGTACTCTAGCGGCGGTACGATTACGCTCTTCAACACCGTCAATTTGATGCGTGTATCAAGGTGCCGGTTTGCGAGTATTGGGTGCAGCTTCCCTGCTCGTGCTTTGCCCTTTTCCGCTACCTTGGACATGTGTGCATTCCACGAGCAATCTTTTGCGATCTCTACTCCGAGGTATGTGTACTGGTCCACTACTGCAATCTCCTCGATCCCCCACTTCCATCTATGTTCTACTGGTTCCTCCTTGCCCTCGTTGCATACCATGACGGCACTCTTCGTAACGTTGGCAGACAATCTCCACTTATCAGTAAACTTCTTCGCCGCGTCAATTTGCAGTTGCAGTCCCTCAGGGGTGTCCGACATACCAGCAAAATCATCCGCAAACAGCATTCCTGACACCAACGTTTCCGTGTCCCCTACTTTTACTCCCTTCCGGACTGCCTCTACGACTTCCAACAGATCGTTGATGAACACCTGGAACAATGTTGGGGACAGCGTGCAACCTTGTGGGACCCCTTGCTCAATGTCGAAGAATTTAGAAAGTTCTCCGTCTAGCATGACCGCGCTTTTCGTACACTCTGTCATCTTCTTCAGCACTCTCCACATTTTCCCCCTGATCCCGTACTTGGATAATTGTTTCCACAGCTCATTTCTCCATACGGTATCGTATGCCTTTTTCACGTCCAGCAAGAAGCAGTACGTCCGCTTTCCCGCCCTCTTTCTACCTTGGATGATTCTCCCTACCGTGAATGCGTGGGCTACGCACCCCCTCTTCTGTCGGAAACCTGCCTGGCCCTCACTAATGCTACGTTTCTTCTCCAATACTCCCACTATCCTATCGTTCAGCAGCTTACAAAACACTTTTCCTACTGTGTTCAACAGTGTGATACCCCTGTAGTTTCCTGGGTCAGTCTTGTCTCCTTTCTTAAACAAGTTCACAACCACTCCTTCCCGCCATCTACTTGGCGCATACTCGTTTTTCCACACCCAGTTGTACAGCAGTACCATCAGCTGGATCATCCCCTTCCCCCCAAACTTCATGAACTCGTTGACTATCCCATCCGCCCCTGCTGCTTTGTGGCACTGCAGCTTGTTCACACACGCCTCAACCTCGTCGTCAGTGAAATCCTTTTCTAGTTCTACGTTCCCAACGTCTGCCTTTGATGTCTCTTCTTCTTTCTGGGCCCATGCGTCCACCTCCTTCTTAAACGCTTGGTCAAAAGCTTCATTCTCCGGAGGCACTCCAAGTCTCTTGTAGTGTCCTGCTAGAACTTCCCTTTTTCCCTTCCCACTGCTGACTAGTCCACCGTTCACACCTCGCAATGTTGCTACCCCTGTATCCCCCCCTTGCGCGGTCTTTTTTACCATCCCACTAATCCCTTCCCACATCTGCTTGACGTTCCCCTCCAGGCCTCCGTTGGCCTTGTGCACTACTTCGTCCCAAATGCACTTTTTCTTCTTTTTCACTAGTCCCTTCACCTGTTTCCTCTTGGCCCTGTACTTTTCCCAACCCTCCTCAGACCCCTCACCCAGGTACTGCTTGAAGACTTCTCTACGTTCCCCTATTTCTTCTTTCAGCTCGTCATCCCACCACTTAACCGATACCCCACATCGTGCCACCTTCTTTCCCACTACTCTCTCTGCCGTTGTGTTCACTATGGACTCCCATCCTTCAATCACGCTGTCCCCTGCTGCTTGTGCGTCTACCTTTCCGTCTTCGACGCTTCTCAGCAGTTTCCTGAAGGGTTCTACACTACCAGCCAATCCCTTCTGGAATTCATTGCGTGTCCCCTCGTCTCCCAAACGCTCTACTTTCCACCGGAACACTCTCCTCTTTTTCTTACTCTCCGTCTTTCTAGATCGGCCGATGTTTGCCCATATGAGGAAATGGTCGGTCGAACCTATATCTATCGCACTTACGTGCAGCTCCGGGACCTGTGTGCTCCCCCTATCTACCAGGATGTAGTCGAGGATCGAGTATTCATTGCAAACTGCCCTCTGCCTGGTGAACTCCGGCTTATCGCTTTCCCTCCTACCGTTCAACACCATCAGCTCGTTGCTTCCCAAGAATTCAAGCCGTAGTTCGGGGGTGCGTCTAAACAGGAAACTCGACTGGCGAGGAGAATAAGGGCTGATGGTATGTCCCTCGTGTCAAGTTGGACAAACAATTCCATAAAAAGGTGCAGAAGAATAATGTACGCTTCTCAAGAGGGGTGCCTGGCGGAGGAAGCCTTGCGTGTGAGTCCGGCCCTACTACATAGACCGGTGAAAACGCGAGACAATAAAATGAACGGTGTAGAGATGTATGACCACGGGTTGGAGCTTATACCCTTTTTGCTGCGAGCGCTGATTGAAGTGACAGGAAAAAAAAAAAATGGGTAGCGGGCTCTCTTGACTATAGGGCAGGATTAACGGCGTGGGTAGCCGGCTAAGTTCGCAAATTCCCGCACAAAAGAGAGGGCTCACGACTGCTGTAGATGGGAAGAGCAGCGAAGAAAAAGAAAGGGGGACACGAAAAATTTGGCCCTCCTTAACTCACCTCGAAACGATCCCCAAGGTGACGGTGCTGTCGAGCCCGACCGGGTTGCCGACGGCGATCACCCAGTCACCAACCTGCCAAAAGCAGCAGGATCATGCGTGTACAAGCCGTTTTCGTTTTTATCGTGACGAACGAGCCTTCCGGAATATGCACAACAAAAAAATGCATTTCTTTGCCCGACTCGCTCACCTCCACGCCATGGCGACGGCACAAAACCCGTGTGTGACCAGAAAGAAGACACGCATTGGCTGCAACACAGACGTGCGAGGGGGGGAAATCATGGCCCTAGAAGAGAGAGCACCTCCCTCCCTCCCTCCCCTTTCCGTCACGAAAAGAGCGACCTCAGCACAAAAAATACGACCCTCACCTCGAGTTCCAAAGGTCTAACGGCTACGGCAAGCACGGCTATGAGTACATGAGTACACCCCGCCCCACCTGTAGTTCCTGCGAGTCGCCCAACGTGACCTCCGGTAGCGGGGTCTGGCCCAAGCTCGCGTCCCTGTCGATCTTTAGCACGGCGAGGTCGCTCAGCGCGTCGCTTCCCTTCACCTCGGCGAGGAATTTACGGCCGTCCGTCAGCGTGACGGTCACCTACGGCAGACGGCAACCAGGCGGCCACAGCAACAGCGAAATGGGGCGGTTCAAGGCAAGGCAAAGCTGTAGCAGAGGAGGGTTTTCGACCTTCCAAACGGCACACAGACAATTCCATGCCACCCGGAACGCAAGAAGACCTCAGAGCCCTTACCTCCACCAACTCTTCGTACGAGCCAAGCGTGTGGTGAAAATCGCACCATGTACCGTTGTCAAACAAGAAGGAGTCGACAACAGACTTTGCTCGCATGGTCGACTCAAAGACACCATAGCTCTACCGCCGCTCTGGAAGCGTTCCAGAAATTCAGTGCCCCAACATTTCGACGTTTCAAGCCCAGGAGACTGGCTACATGCAAGCGTTCCGCCTCGAACTCAAGAGGACAAAGGAGGAGGAACTGCTGGCACGACGCTCTTAGGCAGTGCTGGAAATGCAGCTGCCACTTTCTTGGAAACGCAGCGTGTCTCACGGGAGCACCTACCACCAGAAAAAAACGAAAAAAACAAACAAACAGCGTGAACAACAACCAGAAGTGGCCATTCCCATCCTCACCTTGTACTCTGCTGTGCTGCGGTTTGCCTCTGCCGGTGTTCAAATTCAACGAAAGCTTCTATCTTACCATGTTGAGCATCTTACCATCTTGAGCACTAAACCAACAACACGCATCTAAAGAGAAGGCGTGCGGTGATTTTGAGAGTGCGTTCTCGCGGACCGGAAAAAAAATCGACCTTCAAGTCCATACCTGTACACGACCGAACCCACTAAATTTTAGCTGCTGTGCCGCCGGTACTATGTAGCTGTATCTCACCTTCCTCGCCCCGGCCACCACGTGCGCGTTCGTCAGCACCAGCCCGTCCTCGCTGCTGAAGATGAGGCCGCTTCCCTGACCCGTCTCCACGTCCGTGAAGGGGGAGCCGTCGTGGCGCGTGCCCACCAGCCTCTCCATGTCAATGCGGCAGACGGCGGGGCTCACGGCCCGCGCAGCCACCGCGACGAAGCTCGTGCTGTGGCGCCCCGGGGTCCCGCCACCGCCCCCGCTACCTCCGATAGCGGGCGCCGGCGGTACTTTCGGCGCCGGCGCCGGCGGCGACGGTAGGGTCAATCGCCCACCGCTCGTCTTCTCCTTGCCTCCTACCACCGCCACTCCGGTAGAGGAGGAGGACTTACCCTCCTCCTCTTTCTGTTCCTGCTGCCTGTTCGCATCTTGTTGGGAGCTATCAGCAGACAGGGGTGCCGCACCCCCGTGCGCGGGCACTGCGGCGGCGTTTTCCGTGTCTACGCCTACGCTGAGTCGCACGGGCACCCTCGTCGATCTACCGGTGACGCTGGCGGCGGCGGCGGCGGCGCTAGTGCCCCCATCATCTTGCCTGCCAGCGCTATCCTGACCCCTGGCCCCTCCCCCGCCGTCTCGCAACAGGTCGAGCGCCTTCTCCGCCGCGAGCTCTAGATCTTCTAGGTCCGGGCGCAATTCAGGGCCGCTCTCGTCTATATCAGCCTCAGGCTCAGTGGCGCCGTCGCCGCCATCACCTCCGGAAATGTCACCGCTGTCTCGCAACAAATCGAGCGCTTTCTCTGCCGCAAGCTCTAGGTCTCCCAAGTCGAAGTGCGTGCGCAGATCGGGGTCGACGCCGACACCATTGTCGTCAACGGCGAGACTACCGCCATCCAACCCGTCCCCATCGGAGAACAAGCCCTCCCTCTCGCCGCTGCCATCGAACGGTTCTCTCGGCACTCGGTGTTGTTCTTCTTTTCCTGGGTCCTCCTCCCAAGCTTCCCGCTCAGATGCCGCCGCACCACGCGACGGCAGCGGTGCTCCGACTCGGGTGGACGGGCCGGCCTCTCGGTCGAGAGAATCTCCGGCGGCTTCGGCGGCGGCTGCCGCGGCCGCCGCCGCGGCGGCTCGAATCGCCGGGCTGTTGTGCCAGAGCTGCTCGGCGTGGTCGTCGAGGTGGGTGATGGTGGTGCCGATGCCTCCTCCGTCGTCGTGGTAGTAGTCCGCCCGCTGCCGGTAGCCGCCTCGCCGCCTGCTGGTCATGGCCGGGGAGTCGTCGTAGGGGTGGAGCTCCGGCGAGGGGAGCGTGGAGTCCTCCCCGTCGTCGTCGTGGTAGTTGTAGCCGCCGTAGCTCCTGCCCTTGCCAGCGGTAGAGCCCCCCGTTGACCTTGTCGGGAAGTGACAAACAGCAGGGGGAATTGTGTTTTCGGGGGGAGGTCGGGAACGGGAGTGGGGGTGACGAAAGACCGACAAAGAGGACCGGTTGCGAGGGGGGCTTGGCTCCTCGATGGTACCATGGCTTGATGTAATGCTTGACCTTGATCTCACCGATGGTTGCCATCTCCTCTGCGCTTGCGATACCGCTGACTACTGCTGTTTCCAGACAGGTACGAGTATTGAGGTGCGTTCGGCGACGCAGATGACAAACACGCCGTTCGAAGTGGGGAGAGCCATGAAAGAGGCGCGGTGCTGGGGACGCGTTGCGATTTTGACAGGGGGGGGGGGGGCGTACTCATTTGTTGCTTGCCGTAGTCATTTGACCATTGACCACGCGTCCCTTTCGAGACGGAGCACCGTTCCTACACCTACTAGAGACACCACCAACATTTGGGAGCTCTTTACGTTTCTGCCACAAACTCCATAAAAATTTCTTGCACATCTTATCCCCGTCCTCTAGGGCCTCTTGTGCCCACCATCTATCCCCAATTATCGCGATCGTTTTTTCGCTGTTGTCTAATTTACCAAACTTGTCCATGTCACACCCTCTCTGTCTCATTTCCTCCTCGAGATCCTCTCTTTCCTTCCTGTACAACTCACACTCCCCAACTATGTGGGGTCTACTCTCCTCCGATTTGCCACATGGACATGTGTGTCTATCCTCCTCTTCCTCTCTCCTACGGCTGGATATACCTCTTCCTCCGTTCTGGCAAGTCCAGATCGCCTACTCGAAATTGCAATTTCAGCTTTTTCGCATAGTCCATGGGGCCGTCCAAGTACTTCTTCTTCCCTATCCCTTCTTTCAACTTCCCGTATATCTCCAAGTGGTCTTCGCTTCGTACCTTCTTCCGAAGGGTTGTCTCCTCCCTACTCTCTAGCATCTCCTTGACTTTCGTCTTGAACCCCCCGAACCCTTCCGTGTCCAACGTCTCCTCCTCGTCTCCTATCTCCTTCCAAACCTTCTCTACCACCTTGTCCCATCTGATTCCCTTCTTCCCTGGAGTCGCTTTTCCCCAAGCTGCCTCGTCAACCATGGCTGGTAGTCTATCGTCCGACATTCTACTTACCTTGTACTGCCACTTCAACTTCTGCATGTCTCTCTTTGTTTTAAGAGAGTACATTCCCAATTCTGCTCTCAATACAGTGTTGCTCGTTGTACTTGAACATCCTAGTATTTTCTGGCCGCTGCCATCTGCACCGTTTCCAGCTGCTTGACGGCCTTTTCGTTACCTTCCCATATCTCTCCTGCATACTCTAGCTTAGGTACAATCACCTTCAAGAGAATACACCTCTTAATCCTAGTGTCTAGGTGTGGGTCCGTAAGGATCTCATCCATCTTGCCTATCTGAGCTTTACCCTTCCCAATCAACTTCGCTATGTGTGCGTCCCATGAGCACTCCTTCGAAATCTCTACTCCCAGGTACGTTTACTTGTCTACTACCGGTAGTTCTTCCTCCCCCCATTTCCATTTGAATTCTACGGGATTTTTCTTATCTTCGTTACAGACCACTACTGCGCATTTTCCTACGTTCGCCGACAGTCTCCATTTTCGGGTGTATCCTACCGCCGCATCTATTTGTTCTTGCAACCCTTCTGGTGTTTCGGATACCCCCACGAAATCATCTGCAAACATCAGTCCGGACACACTCTTTCCCTCTACTTGGACTCCCTGTCTTACTGCTTCAACCGCCCTTGTCAAATCGTTGATGTAAATCTTAAAAAGAGTGGGTGACATCGTACAGCCCTGTGCGACTCCTTGGAGTATATCCACGTACTTCGAAATTTCCCCATCCAACATCACCGCACTTCTTGTGCATTCTGTCATATTTTTCAACATCCTCCACATTTTCCCCCGGATGCCGATGTCCCACATCTTTTTCCACAATCCATTGCGCCATACGGTGTCGTAGGCTTTTTGTATATCGAGGAAGAAACAGTATGTCGTACGCCCGGCGTCTTTCCTACCTTGGATGATTTTACTCAACGTATATACATGGTCTACACAACTACGATCTGGTCTAAATCCAGCTTGTCCTTCGCTGATCTTGTTTCCCCTCCAACATGTCTCCCATTCTATTGTCTATCATATTATCATGACAGGGGGGGGGGGCTTTTGTTCGTGCGATACATCCTTTCTCCTCTATCACGCACAAAACTCACGTGCCGGCAGGCAGACGAGGAAGTACGGAAGTCGCGAAGATGTAGCTCGCCATGGCCAGGCTCGCCCAGTGCACCCGCTCGCGGCTCACGACGAAGGATCTGCAGTCGTCAACCTTTCGACGCACGAAACGCACAGGCGTAACGAAGACGGCGCTGCCGACGGCGGCTGGCCCCCACCTTCTCCTGTCCTTTTTCGGCTCAATTTTACTGCTGCCGTGGCCACCCCCTGCTGCCGCCACATCGACAGCAGCACCACTGCTGCATGCACCGCTACTGCTGTTGCGGCTCCTACCCCTCTGACCAAAGTTGAGGATGGGAGCTTCTGCACTACCGCCGCCGGCGGTCTGTTCGCATGAAGAGTCGAGGACAGGGACGGCTTGAATTTTCGCATTTGCTCTGCGCCGCCGACGCCGAAACACGTCGCGTTTTCTCATGCGCTCTCCTTCTTGTTCTCCTTGATCTCTTTGCTGACCCTGGTCTGCCGTACGCACCGCTGCCGCTGCTCTCTGAAGCAATCGCTTGCTCTTGGCAGCAACATCCTCCTCCTCCTTCTCCTCCTCGTCCTCCTTTTCCTTCCCGTCTCCCTGTCCGAACGCGGCGCCGTACCCAGCCGCTCGTAGGCGCAAGATGCGTGCATATTCTCTGTTACCGTAAGGACGGGCGGCGCGTGCTATGCTACCGCCGCGTCGTGCTGGCAACAACGAGCAATGATGTTGAACTGATCCCGCCGCACCCGAGGCGGCCTTGGCGGCACCATGAGGAGCATTGCTGCCAGAGCCGACGAAAGCCGGTCGCAGCGCTTCGGCCGTAGACCGCGACAGGGCGAGGCCGAGAAGACTCGCTACTGCTGTTGCGGTGTTTATCTCTCGATTTTTTCGACGATGGTTCATCTCGTGCTCTCAGTTACTGCAGACTGCTGCTCCTCGCTCCTCGCATGAATCTGTCTTGCTTGCTGTTGAGGGTGGTGGGTGGGTTGGTTCCCAAAAGGGGGGTTCGTGGAAAGAATCCGAAAGAGCACATACCCCCTGCGCGTACCTTTGGGTGGGGGGGCAAAGTGCGCGTGGCAGCCGGCAACGAGAGGAGCAGCAGCATAAAACAAAAGCAGCCCTACCCACGCACAACAGCAGGAGCGACTAAGATGAAGGCTCCCACATTGGCGGTTGTGTTGTGTGCGGCGGGCGCGAGTGCATTTGTGGGGACGCCCGTTGTGCAGCCAAAGGCATGTGCCACCACACGAAGGCACTCGTCCTCACAACCGGTGAGCCAGCAGCAGGAATCGATCGATACATGATTGCTGCGTGTGTTGTCCGAGCTCTTGGTAGGTCTGACACCAATACCGCTACTGCTTCTCGCAGCTTTTGGCCCTCTGTCGTCCCGCCAAGGCCTAAAGCATGTACCGCCTCCGCACCGGTGCCGTTACCGTGGGCGAGCGCGTGTGTCTTGTTGTTGTGTTGTCACCGCGCTGTGTTTTGGGAGGAGACGTTAGTCATGTGCTGGTCTGCGACCACGAAGTTGCGGTTGCCAAACGACCTTCAGGAGGTGCTGGGTGCTTCGGAGTCAATGCGAAACGTCCACCCCCTGACTATGTGCGTTGAGGGTGTCCAATCCGTTTGCCCTGCCTTTGCGTTTTTGTCGCCTTCGCAGGCCTTTGTTCGTCAGGAGTTTCGGTTTTTGGTTGTGTGTGTCAGCACCTCTCATATTCCGTCCGTCATGTATTTGTAGTTGAACTGCCGCTTTTCCGTTTTTCACTTGTTTGTGGTCATGTACCGCCTTCCGTGTACACCCAAAAGTTGGTTCTTCTAGTATGTCCCGACGGGGAAACCGTTGTACTGCAGTAGTCTTGCGCTCTCCAACACAGCGAGAGGTGGGAAGCCCGTCAACAACAAACTTCGGCTAAATCAATGCAGTATGCGAACGATGTTTTGAAGTGTTTTTTGAAGTACTACTGCTGTGTGCCTAGTTTTGGTCCTGTCCGCTGTGACCCCCAGGCTGATACGCCAATTACACCAGTGGTAAAGGTGTTGTTTAGAGTTTAGCGCCAAAATAGATGGGACAAACAACGATAAAATATTGGACCTTGATTCAGTTGTATTACGCTCGAGAGGGAAATCGATGCGGAGGTACACCTCTGAAATCACGGTGTGGCTCCTCCGCCTGACCCACATCCATGTACCTCCCACCGCCCACCTCACCCGTCTCCTCCTCCTTCTTTACCGACCTCTTCACCGTGGGTGATATTCGTGGTTCTTTGGCAACGAAACCTGATACTTGTATTTTTGCCAGCGTCGCCTACGCTCTGGCCCCTCGACGAGTCAGTCCCCCGACAAAGAAACGTGTGATGCTGATTCACATCAGAGACCCTCTTGACATGAAAGGTTGGCAAGCGCTGGTCGGTAAACACCCTCGCCGTGGAGCCCAGTCCGTAACGGAGAAGAACGATATCGCCGCCCCGCCTGCTTAGAGCACCCTCAACGGTAGCAGTCAGAGGGCACGTAATTTCCCAGTGGTTCTGGTAAAGAAGCACGTCCCGAGCTTTGCACAAGGCGGAACGCAGACACAAGTAGGTGCAGATCAGGGAATTCGCAATGGCCTTGGCCTTTGTCGCGCCCGTTTTTTTATTCTCCCACGAATGTACCAAGAAGATGGCCGTTGTACCCGCACAACAGCTGTGGCATGTTTTTCTCTTGCTGCTCTATGATGCGTATAGAAGTATCCGTGTGGGGTTGAAGGCCTCGTCGTTGCTCGAAGCAGAGCTCACAGTACAGGCTCCCGGTACTAGCTGCTGCTCCTGCTGCTGGTGTCTTCCGGTGACAAAGGAGGCACTATGCACAGCAACACGACTGCAATTGCGGTCGTGCTACATTAAAGAGCAGCTCACCGGCAGTTGTTCACTGTTTGCAGTACAACAACTTTTTCGGCAATAACCGCCACGCAACCGCTCGCCGCGTAATCGGTACTCCCGCCGAACGCGAACGCATAACCGTTTCCACAAGATCTTGTGCTTCTCGTCAACCGCTCCTTCCCTCCTCCTGCATATCATGCACTCCCCCTAACCCCACCGCCCCCCCCACTCCCACCCCCACCCCGTGTGTGCCAGCTGAACATGGCGGTGATTGACACGACCAAGCCGCCGAAGCTGACGAAGCGCCCGGCGAAGCTGAAGGTGATCGAGGAGGTGAAGTCGCTGCTCGAGAGCTCGTCGATGGTCTTCTCGGTGCCCTCCTCGTACATCTCGGCCAACCAGGTGGTGGCCCTGCGAAAGGACCTGCCGGAGGGCTGCACGGCCAAGGTGGTGAAGAACAAGCTGATGCGCATCGCCAGCGACGGCTCGGAGTTCGCGCAGCTGGCGGACGTGACCACCGGGGAGAACTTCTGGATATTCATTGAGGGGGAGGACAACCTGGCCGAGCCCATCAAGTATGTGGCCGAGTTCGCCAAGCAGTTCGACAAGGACACGGTGAGTCAGGAGGAGGAGGAGGAGCAGGAGAGCGTAACGCTACGCACACGTACGGTTGAGTCCATCTGTTGTCGTTGTCCCGAGCTTGGTTAGCGTCGGGAGGCGCACTTCTTTTTCCATGTGTTGCTGTTTTGGGCGGGGCATGGAGAGGATTTTTTCGGTAGATAGTGGAACGTGCGTAGGCGAAATAGGCGCACCCTCTCTGTAGTAGTGGTGGTGGATGTTTCGCCCGGCACTGGGCGGTGCTGCAGTCGCTTAACGAACGATACTCTCTCCCTTCCTTGTTGTGTCCCTCTTGCGCTGTTGTCGCGCGCCGGTCCACCCGCCCCATCGTCGCCGCCCGATGAGAGCAGCCGGGCTGGGGCGGCTCGCCGTTCAAGTCTGGCGTGTTCGGCGGGGACGTGCTGGACGGACCGGGGGTCGTGGCCATCTCCAAGCTGCCGACCAAGAAGGAGCTCATGCAGCGCCTGGCGATCGCGGTCAACAGCGTGCCCACCAAGCTGGGCAGATCGATCAACCTTGTGCCGACCAAGGTCGGCCGCGCGGTGAAGCTGGCGTTCGCGCCGGAGGAGGACGACGCACCAGAAGGGGACGCCGCGGCAGCAGAATAGGGAGGGTTAGATGCAGGAGGAGACTGGGCGCCCGGTTTTGTCGAAGGCTCCAGGGCCTGATGATTGTGTGTGTTGGGCTGAGAAGAAGTCGTCTCTGGATTGATGGCCGCCGCCCCAGAGGTGGTGTTCGGTTGACTGCTGTAATGTGGAGATTTTCGATCTCTTTGTGGCCGGTATTTGGTTTTTCGAATGCCGACCGGCCCACTTGCCCCCCGTGAAGATTGGGACATGTCGGTTATGGCTGGCAGAGGCCCAGCAGAGCTTCGAGAGGGCTTTTTCAGTCGAAGGCCTCTCACGGACGTGCTCGCATGGTTGCCTGAGTTGGTTCGGTATTGCCGCAGCTTTCTTTCCATGACATGCACGGTTTGGTTTGGACGTGAAGGCCGCGAGGGGGGGGTTCTAGAAATGATGCAGCCGCCGTCTTTCGGTGGGTGGTCGACATGAGTAGCCTACACGTACATAAATTACTCTCACCCGGCACATCGAGAAACGGTTCATCAAACGGAAGTAAGGCGGCGAAAGAATTGTGGGGTTTTGGTTAGACTTTGTCACAAGTGTTACTGGACTTTGAAGCCTTTGCACGATTTGAGTTTTTGGATGTGAGCCGTACCGTTTCCGCGACCTACCGTACGTTTGAAAGATGCGGTCAAGGCGGCTCAAGCCCAGTCGGACGGAAAACAAAAAGAGAGCGCTCGTCTTGCACAAGGCCTAGCCTTTGAATGGACTTTTGCTCTGATGGGCATGAACACGCGACTGGCATAACAACTTGGCTGTTCGTGTTACGACCGCGGCTGGAGATTGATTGCTCGCATTTCCCTGCCGCTGGCACACGGCTGATGTTGCGCGTTGTTCCCCGGATGCATCAAATTGTTGAGTTGAGTCCATTATCGGTACCACTTTCCTCACACCGAACCAAATTGAATGGGGAATTCTTGGCACCGTCTTCCCGACCCCACCCCACCCCATGACATGCTCTAGCAACTTGCAGACATTCGGAGCGACTTCCGCTCGCAAAAGGTAAAAAAAACGATGCAGCAAACTCCAAAAAACCACCTGCATGTGGTTGAGCACTGTTTCAACCGGCATTGGCGACGGCATGAAAAAACTTCTAAAATAGACGTTACAAAGCACGAAATCCCTGCGCCTATCTATATCCCATCAACAGCATGTTGCTGACGCTGTACAGCGGTCACAGCAATAGGACTGGGCCATGTGCCCTTTCGGCCGAGAAGAAACGGCTACAGCAGTAGCGCCGCAACCAAAGAGCCGGATCAACAAAACAAACAACACCCCGTCACACGCCACGGGGTGACCGAGGGCGGTGAGAGATTCCATCATGCAGAAGTCGAAGCAGGTGGTAGAGAGGCCACGTATTCCCGCACAGTCTTGATCTGTGCTGTCACGGAGCTACGGCTAGTTCCACCCGGGGAGTTCTTGCGCTCCACGCTGGAAAACAAAACAGCACCGTCGGAGATGGGGGGGGGGGTGGCGCGTACTCATGAGCTTCAAATCTTCCAAATATCCTTCAACATCATCAGGGGGGGATACGGGGATGTGATGGTAC